TATCAAATATTACAAACACATCTAAAAAATCAAAATAATTTTAAATATTGAATCATATATTTTCCAGTAAAAGAAAATTGGAAAATTAAAAAATTTGTACATTTTGTACAATTAAATTGTTGAAACAAGATCCAAAGGAATACATGAAAATAATTTGTAAAATATATATCTGATCATAATAAATGCCTGATGTAAAATCAAGAAACGAATTACTAATTGTTAATCATACAATTTAGTGGAAAATTGATATTTTACCATCGTATCCTTTTGCTTCCATTGTTCCCACTGCTGATCGTCATTATTCGTTTTCTTCTTTTTTCCCTGAAATTAAGAAAAGAACACGTGACACTCGTCGAAAGAATTTGAAACGTCGTGATTTCCCGCCGTAACGTCGCATCCGGTTGACGTTTCGCCGGCTAATCAAAAACAAAAACTCAACGACGAATGCACGAGTCGTACTTTGTTTTGCTTTTTTTTATTCGTCTGTTGTTGCTGTTGTTGTTGTTGTTGCTGCTGTTTCGACTTGTCGCCTTTATTCTTGGCGTTAGTTTTGCTCGTTGTCGCGCTCTTTTGCGTTTTCTTCGGTTTGTAATCGTCATCCTCGAGACTGAGTACGGCGAATCTCGACGGTACAGCGGTCGCCATCTTTCTGTAGTTTACCAACGAAGACACACTTCGAGATTGACGCAACGGCGAACCGTGTATTTCCGGCGTTAAACCGCGGAGACGCGGTGACAAGCTGACAAAAAAAGTCGACCGCGATTGATCTCGATGTCGACGTCACGGTTCGTAAAATGTCTAAAACAGCGATGCGATCGTCAAATGAGACGCGCGCTGAGAATAATTGAACGACGCCGTTGAACAACAACAACAACGATGACGATGATGACGACGACGACGACGACGACGACGACGACGACAACGGTAATTTATACAATACCGAAGCGATCGCGACACTAGCGCCGCGAGTGTCGAGTTGTGGTAGTCGACGATGTCCAGACGCCCAGCGTTCAGGTTGTGTTCAACGATGCGACATAATGACGCAGGGTGGTCAACTGGTCGACATATTTTTAAAAAGATCATCGCGAATGATGATTTCGTGCCATTCGTGCGATGTAAACTCTTAATCTTGACTGTCGAGATTAATGTGCTCGCTCTAATCAAGTAACAAAAGTTAATTATCGATCTCGCGAGAAAGAGATGTCTACCGCGTCGTATGAAAAGGAGAAAAAATGCAATCCGAAAGGCGCGCCATCGGTTGGCAAGCCTGTGGTCCGACGCGCGACGACACAGGCGAGAAACGGAAAAGGTAGTATTCGGTCTATAGCATATATTCAATCATCGCATCTCCATCCACCGTGTGAGGCCCCATTGCAAGTCGGGTAACCGCTGAACATATACGTACGTCGTGTTGCGCGAACGACGTAGCGCCTTCGAAAACGGTGTTGTCGTCCGCTCGGCCTAGTTCGGTTCGGCTCAGACCTGCTTTACTCCGTGATTACATGCGTGTGGAATCACGCGTCGAGGCTCACCTGGCAGCCACCGAGCGGTGCGCGATTTGAGGCGGCGGTGAGGAACGGTGGAGCGAGTGCCGCGCGAGAAAAAGCGAGCGAACGAGCGAGCGAGTGAGAGCGAACGAGAACGGGACAACGAGGAGAGATAAGGACGGAGAGAGGGAGAGACAGAGCGCGCGCGGGCGCGTTCGCGCTCGCGCCTTCCCCGCTGCGTTCCTGAGACGACGCTCGCCTATTTTCCGACGCACCGTATATACGAACACGCGCGTGAGCGTGTTTGTCGCGCGCGTTCAACCGGCGGCTCGTCCCGGACGGATCCAGAGGTACGGGTATCGGAACACATGTACCAAAGGTTGACCGCTCGACTCGTCACGCGACTCGTGGGCTAAGATGCCCGACGTATCTATCGTCAGCAACGTCAGCATCGAGGTAGCTGGGTTACGTAGCCGAGCCACGTACTTTGGCTCTTCCGCGAACATGCTGTGGACCTGTTTGCCTCAGTCATCACATTAATACGCGGGATTGATTCTGTGCTCCTGCGCTCCTGTGCTCCTGTGCTCCTGTGCTCCTGTGCTCCTGTGCTCCTGTGCTCCTGTGCTCCTGTACTTCTGTGCTTCTGTACTTCTGTGTCAGTCATCGGTGTTATTTTTATGACTGTCGCGAGGGAGCATGCTTGGGATTCTGGGGGAAGATTTGCTCAAGGGACATTCGCAATACGTTTTACAGATGCGACTAAATATTTGGACAAACGTGCAGTAATAATTCTGATCGGTTTAATCGTGTTTTGAAATCTTTAGTGATTACAGAGGGTTGTTATGGAAGGTTACGTATCTATGTGAGATTTGAATATACCTGACAATTTTTGCATTTGAAGAATAATAAATAATTATTCAAGAGAGAAACATTTTGCTCTTATCTGATGATACGTCATTCTTGTTTATCCTACTTGTATGCAAAGGTATTTTTTCTTTTTAATTCTTTTTTTAAATAAGAATTATATGTATCAAATATTTTAATTATACACTGAGATTATAACTTGAAGAAACTTTCTTTGTTATATAGCATCCTGATCCTTGCACAGCATATCAATACTTCTGTAAGAGAATTGATTTGAAAGAGCTCTCTTGGTATTCGCCAATGTTAAATTTATAAAAGAAAGAATTCGAGCAAATATTTTGTCAAAATGTGTGAGCAAACGGAAATCAATTATTTGGATGGAGATGTCGTTTGGGTTAAATTAGGAGCATGCTGGTGGCCAGGCCAAGTCATTGGATTAGACAATTTGCCCGAGGATATTCAAACCGAATTTAAAAAGAAGCCATTAATAGCGGCAGTAAAGTTTTTTCAAGAAGATACTTTGTAAGTTATGAAAATTTTAGTTTTAATATACGAAACAAATTGTTCAAAGCATTCTTTTCAATAATTTTTCTTTCAGCGAATTTGTGAAAAAATTATCAACAAATTTATAAGTACAACTGTACGCTTAAAGATGAATTTATAAAAAAGGTTTAGGTAAGTACATGATACAAATTATAATACAAGTTTTCTTATATGATCAAAATTTTAATCTTCTCTCTCTCCTCTTTTTTTTTTTGTACATCTGAGTAGATAGATACAGAAGCAAGAGTAAAGATGGTGCCAGTTACATGGACAAATTCCCAGGTGATGTAGAAACGGCAGAAAAATTAACAGGAGGAAATCCTGATATATTGAATCAAGAGAAATTTTCTCCAGAAGAAAAGCCGGACATCTCTGCTCTGTTTGGCGAGAAGAAAATTCCAAAGAAAAAGCGTGATCGCGAGGAAGGACATAGGCGCAGCGATAGTGCAGAGATCATAAGGAAGATCACACATCCGCGCTTTCTACGTGGAGAGAGCGATCACGAGGTTCGCATTCGTCAACAACCCAGCAGTTTACCATCGACTCCGACAAATACAGGTTCCATGGTATATCGCTGTCACTTTTGCAACTTTACTTCCTCACGTGTTAACGTCATCATTTGTCACATAAAAAGTCATCGATCCGACGATTCGCCGACGCCGCGATTGAAAGTAAAAACATATTCTCAGTCACATAGGATTTCCGATACAAGCACACCGAAGAGAAAATATATAAAGAAAGATAAAAATCAATCGAATAAAAAGAAGACTGAGGGTAAGCTGGAATCGACTAAACGAAAGCATTTAAAACAGAGTGAAAAATCCAATAAGAAAAAGAAGAATGATCCGGAATTGCGAGAAAAGTTATTGGCTGACTGGGATGACGAATCAGATGAAGAAACGAGTGATGTAAATAATTCGCTAAATAACAGATTAAATGATTCCCCTACGAAAGAGCGATTGAGTATCGACGATAGCGAGCATTACAGTGAAAAAGATGCCGCTGGAGTTACGGAGAACAATGAAATTCTAGCGGAAACCGAAAAATTACTTAAGGAAACTGAAGAGTTATCATCGATACATATGATACGAGATTCATTAGATAGTTTGCATGCTTCAAAGAACGTACAATTTGGTTTTGACAAGAAATCTGAATTTTCCGAAGATTCTGGAAAAGATACCAAGAGCAATGGAGGATCCAACGAAATGTTTAATAAATCACAAAAGAAGGATACTTCAGGTTCCGATGGCGAGGATAAGCATGTCTCTGACAAAGATGATAAAAAGTCGCGATTATCATGCTTCGATTTCGATGAAGATGATTTGAGCGAACCTTCTATACCGCCTGTACGAAAAATTCCCAGAGTTTTCGGCGAAAAGAATTTATCTTTAAAGAAAGAAATTATTAAGGAATTTGAAATGAGTCAAGCTCTGAAAAGTGAAATTAAGAGAGAAGCCGATAGAATGTCTGAATTAAGTAGAAGTATGGATTTAAAAGCTGACGAAATAATGGAAATAATACAAGGCAAAGACAATCGACAAGAGAAGAGTGAATTTAAAATGAGCGAGAAACTCGATGAGAGTGTATCAGATCAAACAAAAACGAAGCAATCTAATGAAGATAAGGAAGAAGGAAGGAAAATTGAAAAGCAATCTGAGGATAAACAATACAAGTCTAATATTAATACTTGTGAAACTGCGGTAGAGATTGTAGAAATTTTCGAAGTTGAGAAAGAAGATGTTGATGATAGTCATTCTTTGAATGTTGCAAAGGACATTGAAAAGAAATCTAAGATTATTGCTTCTGATGTATCGATAAAGAGGGACGAAATGTCAGAGAAAAAGGACGCGACAGATTTCAAACTTAGTAATGAAAAATTATTACAATCTGAGAAAACTGATTTGGAAGATGCAATCGCGGAGTCTAATGACAACGCTTCAATGAAAGAGGCGGACGACACTTTGTCGGAACGCTTTACCACGGAAACAGAGGATGAGACTGTATCTGAATCCGCAGAGACCATGCCCGAACAAAGCGAAAATTCAGATATTGATATGTTGGATCAAAGTGTCGATAGTCTCTCGGAAAATCGTATTAGCCAAACATTGGTGAAAAGGGGAAGAGGTCGACCACGTAAGAACGTGAAATCGCCTAATAAGAATACTAATGCGAACAAAAGTTCGAAGACTAATAGAGCGAAGGCTAATAGAGGTAACAAAAGAATTCGCGTGAGCGAAAGAATCGAAATCGAACGAAAGACTTCGGATTCTGATACAGATCGTTCGTATAGCGGCAGAAGACGCAAACCAAATAAAAAATATTTAGAATCCGATATATACGTTCAGGATCCTGACTATAAAGCGTTCAGGACGGACGAGAGCCAATCTGAAAGTGAAACTAAGGTTCCTGAGAAAATCACAAAATCCAGAAGAGGCAGACGCTCCAAAGGACTCGACAAAAGAAGCAGTGAACTCGTTGCTCAAATGGATAAACAAGAAATAGAAGTATCGGATCAAACATCGACCGTTGCTGAAAACAATGTTAGCGTCTTATCGATCGATATAAAGAACCAAACATCTGACAGTAATGTTACTATAAAGGAAACAATACTTTCTGAAGAAAAAGAAGACAGAAAATCTGTAGAATCCAAGTGCGATGTACTCGAGGAACAAGTAAAATCTTTGAATAAAGTAACCGTTATACAAACCGTTGATGAAAGATCTTCGGAAGCTATAGAAGTGACAGCACCAGAGACCACGAGTAAATTAGAAAAAGTAGAAGTAGTTTTAGATGAAATTTCGAAGCAACCGTCTGAAGTGAAGGAGAAGGAAGATTTGTCAAAGCAAAGCAAAAATGCTGAAGATTTTAATGATTACGAGAAGGGATGGATCGCAGAACAAACCGAAGATGTTATCGATAAGATGGAAACGCAACAAGATATCATGAAAACAAACGTAGACATGCTGCCTCCAAAAAAGTCTCAAATAAAAAAATTTGAATTGTCACAAATAGATTTTTCCGATATAGATATTCAAGCTAACAAAAATATGGAAGCTGAGCCGAAGTCTGAACATAAGGTTGATTCTGAACATAAAATTGAAGTTACACTCGAATCTCAGAAATCTGAGTTTCAGAACGATGCTGAAGAAATAATAAATAAAGTAGATGACATAAAAGCGACGGTAGGCAAGATAACGGACACAGTCGCCATATTTTTGGACACTGAGAACGAACAGCACGAAGATGTGAAAAATTTGGAGCTGCAGGAAACATCAGATAAATCAAATGTGAAAGAACAAGAGATTCAGTCGATGGAGGAAATGTCACAGAAAACACAGGATGTTGATCAATTTAAATTGACATCGCCGGGAAAATCGCCTAAAGCAGATGATGTGAAAAATATATCAAAAAGTCCAACGAAAGTGATAACCGAGCAACAATTGACACCCAAGAAATCCTCGATGCAAACGAGATACAAAGGCAGATTCACTCCGGAAACGGGGAAAGGGAAAAAGAAAAGATTTATTTCGGAAGAAAGACCAGCCAATACATTCCAAGAAGCTTTTTAGAAAACTTTACAAATAGACAAGAAAAAATTATAGTCGAAAACGCTGAAGTGTCATCCAAGGGAAAGAAGGAGAAAAAGTCCACGAAAAGGAAAGCTGAAGAGATCGATGCGAGTATTGCCGTCGTATCGGCACAGAGTAAAAAAATTGACAATTTGGACAGAGACAATTTGGAGATCGTCGAAAATATTCAAACTGAGGAAAATGTATCGGTTGTGAACGACATTGAAAACGTCGAGATAGTTGAGGAGAAGATTGAAATTGATAGCAAAATTGAAGATACTGTTCTTGAGACTGATGATCAGCTCGAATCATCATCCAGCGAATTTATTATCGCGTCTAAACCATTGCTTCAATCGGAAACGGCTTCCGTTTCCGACAATAACTCCATCAGTTCTTGCAATGTTAAAAAATTGAATGAAATTCCAAAAGCATCGGTATCCACAACGTCTTTATCGTCTGATATCAGCGTGCCGGTAAAGAAGCGCGAGATGCCGCGAATAATAGAAAATGTAACGCTGACTGAGCCGGTACAGATTTTAAAGACAAAGCTACTTGATAAAGTACCGCAGAAAGGTATAAAGCACAAGCTGGAAGCAGATGCTGCAAGAAGGAATGATCAAAAAAGTGGTCCCAAAGCAAAGATAATGAAGATAGAGACATTGTCTTCAAACAGCAAGATGAAAACTATTGCAAAATCCAGCACACACATGTGTTTGACTAAGAAACTTCAAGTATTAAAGACAGAAGAGACAGATGCACTTTTGGAGGCACAGAACAAAGAACAAGCTGCCGTTACATCGCAGACTATCGTGGCCGCGCCGATAACAGAGAAATGCGTATCACAGGGCGCTCAAAATTTCGCAGATATGGAACTGGATATTAACTCGATGCCGTTTGTTTTCAGCGAAGACGTATTAACGCCAGAAAGTATCGAGCAAATGCCCGTCGTTATATCTTCCATTATTCCAGCTTCTAGCTCGATCCCAGCCACGCTCTCCTTTACCCCGACCACACAGGTAGCGTCACCCACTCAGCAGACTCAGTTCAAGATCGCAAACGAGATTACCGCAACGGAAACGACGCCAACGAAGAAAAAGAGCGGTGTGCCAGCGATATTGAAAACCAAGAGCAAAGCGAAACCGACCATTACGAGTGTTAAACCATTAGTACCGCCACTTACCGGCGGGGTGAAGGGCTTGAAGTTTCAGAGCGCACAACCGGCTGGTAAAACGCCGACTCTCCTAACACAGAAAAGTACTACTCCAGGGAAGTATGTGGTCGTGCAGACCGCGGGTGGTCAACAATTGCGTTACAGCGTCCAGGGCAAACCCGGAACTCAACAGAAAATTGCTATTCCAACTACTGGTAAGGTGGCAGGTAATGCGCAAGTGATACAACAAGGTAGCAAAGTTGTTATACTAACATCGGGACAGTCTTGCCAGACTAAGATGGTACCACTGAACATTTCCAAAACTCTAACCGGTAAAGTACAAAGGATTATGACGAGTAAGGGTCAGCTATTGTGCCCGATAAATCCACAAGGTATAATCGCTTCGAAAACCATTATCGCACCAAAGACTGATACGGTTACTACTACTGCTGCTGCTGCTGCTGCTGCTGCTGCTAATTCACCTACCACATCCAAATTGGTCACAAGTGGTCACAAGATCATCAATACGCAGGGTATAATCACATCTAAGGGTGTGCTTACTCCGATTTCAGGTACTCTCGCTAAAACGGCGCTACTGTCCCAGGGAATTCTTACAAAGGATGGCATCTATACTCCGATTAGCGCTTCGACTTTAAGTGGGAAGACTATAATCGGTTCGAAAACTTTAGTTACAAAGGGTGGCACGACTCTTTTGACCCCTCAAGCGCAAGGTTTAGGTGGCACAAAAGCAATCTTGACGCCAGTGACTCAAACCATCGGCAAAACTATATTAGGCACGCAAGCTATCGTTAGTAATAAAGGCACCATCTTGACTCCTATAACCGGACAACAAGTTAAGGCGATCGCCGCCAAGAGTCCGGTTAAAAGTGCCAAGGTTCAATATCAGTTGCAGCAAAAGGTTCAGCTGCCGATATTGCAAAAATCACCAAAGGTACCGATATCGATCGCAGGCTCGCAAACAAGAGTGTCCACGAAATCACCAGGTAGCACGTTGATCTTACAAAATACTAATCCTGGAGCGGTGGCTCAAAAAAGCACATCACATGGTAAGAAGATTATTAAACAAACAGTAATACAACCAGGTGTCACCGTTCACGGTGTTGCTTCATCGACTGGTGCACAGCAAACGGTAACGATGATGCAGCAAGTGCAGCCGAAAGGCAAAGCCGCTGTATCGTCCACTGTGTCGCCGACCGTGCAAAAAGTTATTATTCCTAGATCTGGCAGTCATCTAATAAAAACTCAGCAAAAAATTGTCGTCCAGAAAGTGCAAGAACCGATTGTGTCGGCGGTGCAGAGTATCCAAACAAAACAGACGACCGCCACGACCGTTGCTAACGCGCCGATCGCCGCCAACAAAACGGTCGTTCAATCGAAACAGACAACTCCTTCAACTTCCAAATTTTCCGCCAAGCCTCAAAGCACGAATAAGACGCAGAAGAATCTGTTGAACGTTGCTATGAATTCGATAAATATCGCCACCACGTCGAATGTGAATGTCGGGAGTAGTGTCACCACCTCGCTGGAGACAATTGACGCAAAGAAGAAAATAAAGACGGATCTCCAAGTTATCACAGATGCTCCTCAGAAGGAGCAAAATAAAACGGACAAATCCCAAAGTGAAAAGTGCGATGTTGAAAAAGTGGAAGAGTCAAAGGTTGTCGCGCAACCTCAAATTATGGCTCTGCCGACGGAAAGCGGCGATGGCACCTACATGTTAGTAACGATCGACGAACAAGGACAGATACAGCCACTCGATAACAACACTCTCATGTCGTTGGAAGGGACCACACAGAATCCGGATGGCACGAGAACCTTATATATAGATCCCAGCTCTTTGGGAGAAGCCGGGTCTCTAGACAACATTGTCCTTCAATTTGACAACGGTGTCTTGCCGAATATTCAGGCTAGCGTGACGGAAGCTAGTCAAACGACTATCGTAAGTGAGAGTTTTCCAGCGTCGGAAGTGATACAGACCTCCAATCAAGATATTTTAGCGGCTGCCCTCGCCAACACGGATTTTCAGCAGGAGATCAATTTACCGGAGAATCAAGCGGGTAGCGTCATGACCCAGACTGGTCTGACTCAGACGAGTCTCATCAATCAAACTATATTGCAGTCTACCATCATACCACCCACAGAACCGATATCGTCGCCATTGGTGCTGGAAACTTCGTTGACTTTAAATCAACCCATCATGACGCCTCTCGAAGTACCGAGCAATCTGCCGATTCAGGCGGATTCGACTCCCACATCGGTGGTCTCTACTATCCCGTCCTCTCTCGAGCTACCAATCACCATTACAAATCCCAGCATTTCTTACATTTCTGCGACAGGAGAGGCGCAGATTCAGATCCCCGGCAACTCAATGCCGGATATTGGCGAGATTATCGAGAGTCCGGCGGCGATAGCGAGCGGGGAGATAGATCACGCCAGTATTCCTGTAAGTACTCAGTACTTGGTGATTCCGAGTCTGGAGGACAACATGACGACCGCGGAGACGCAGAGCACCGAGATAGCGATCGCACCATCAACTTCGTTCACTTCGGTCACCGTGCCGAACAGCATAGTTCTGGAGAATCCGCAGATACAAACTACGCCATCGATGCCGATTATCGACGACACGTATACGGATAATTCACAATTCGCTACGACAGTTGTTACCGAGCAAACATTCGTTGACGTGCCAGTATCGGAGATGTTGATCTCTAAGACGCCGGCAAGGTCCATGGAAGTTGCACAGTCGCGGGATACCACGGTAACGTCGGAAATGACGGTCATTTCCTCGCATCAGGTTCCAACTTCTTCACAAAAATCGATTGTGTCAACGTCAGCCTGCAAGTCCAAGAATTTGGACGAGGAGCAGCAGACCGCGACGCTGCAGGTGATTTACTCTTCTCAGGAAGAAGTTCCTAATACGTCTGAAGAACTGATTCTGCAACAATCATCAGTTAACGAAGATAAAACCTCGGGCATGATGGAAATCGTGCGAGAAACGGAAAACGAAAACAAGAAAAGCGATGCATCGATGTCAGTTTTATCGACGATCGACGAAACCACCTTGGTCACGTCCAAAACCAATTCCAAGATCGAATCTATGAAACAGCAGCTGAGATTTGAAGCAACCGACTCGGGCGAACGTAAAACCGTGAACGAATCGCATGAAGCGGACGCGACAGACAAGTTGAAACAGCCAATAATTTTCGAAGACTTCAGCGATAAAGTCAACTTGACGGACCAGCAGCTAGCGGGTACGTCGATCCGAGATGAGGCTCGAGCCGACAATCTGTTAAAACCCGCGGGGGACGCGACTATGGAAGTAGTAGACGAAACGGTCGAAGATTGTCAAATGGACGAACCGTCGTCACAGGAGGAATCTGACAGACGTCGTCTGCGCCAGAGCATGGAATTGCGTTTTGAGGAAGAGGAGGAAGAAGAGACGATCGTGGAAGCTAGTCAAGAGACACCCTCGCAATCTCAGTATGAGCGATTCAACGTGTCTGTAAGCAGCGACTCGGCGGATCTACCTAGTCAATCCGCCGCTAAGTTGGAGAGTTCCTCGGGCGAGGCGACGCAGTCGATCGCTTACGAGCCAATGGAAACTGATGAGGAAACTGTCGTGGCAGAACCACCTACTCAATCTTTCGAACATACAAAGATCAACGAAGCGTCTCAGTCGTACCAAGTTTCGGTCGAATCTAACGTGAACGCGCCAACACAGTCTTTCAACGAGATCGTGCAACAAAGTCAGATCGGACGACCGAATACCGACGAGACGATCGATGATCAAAGCTTCCCCACGCAGAGCTACGAAGTCGACAAAGGTGAAAACATGGCAGAGAATCTAGAGGCCGATGCCGAGATCAGTCAGGAAGGTAACGTACCGTCGCAGTCCAACGACGTCGGCGCTGACGGTATTGGCACGTCGTCCGTATCAACAAACAATTCCGGATTGAACGAGGATGAGACAGCGAGTTCGTCGTACGTGCCGGAAACACCTGAAAATCAAGAGCGCGATCAGGATCAGGAGAGCGCGATAAGCACGTCGTCGTACGAGATCCCACCATGCGAGGAGCTCAACATCGCTTCGTCCAGCGTGATACCGGACACGTCGGTCAGCACGGAGCATACTAGCATCCACGATAACGGCGTGCCAGAGATTCCGACTTCTTCATCGTACAACCTGAATCCCGATATCACATCGACCCATCATGTAGACTCTGTACCTACTTCCAGCTTCCACGAGGATCAGGTGATAGTTGAGCAGAATGTGTCGACGTCATACGAGATGCCGATTCCGATGCCCGGCCTGGAGGAGACCTGTTCGCAAAACTTTGTCACAGAGAGTAGCGATCATCGTCGGAACGAGCCGTCTAGCTATTACGCTCATCAACAAGAAGTGTCGGCGAGTTTCTACGAGTCTGTGGACCAAGATGCCAACTCTCGATTGGAGGAAGAAGAGGAGGAGGAGGAAGAGGAAGAGGAGGAGGAGGAGGAGGAGGAGGAAGAAGAGGAGGAGGAAGAAGAAGAGGATGAGGATCCACGTGAGGCGCATGTCACGCCCGGTGGCTACTACGAGGGTAATCCTCAAGAGGTGAGTCAAAGCTATTTCGCCCCAGCGGAAGAGACGCCCAACTACACGAGTCATGGCATCTCGCCCAGCTATTACGACCCCAGCAGACCCGAAAGCGAGGCGAGTCAGAGCTACTACTCAACGGACGATCTGGACGGTAAGACGGAACAGTCGTCCTCGTCGCCGAATATCGAGGCGTCGCAGAGCTTCTATCGGGAGAAATCAAGCGGGTTGAGACTGAGACAACAGGGTGAGGCTACTCCAACATATTCTGAGGGATACCCCGTGGATTACACGCTAGAGAACTCACCGATCGAGAGGCATGATCTCGTGGAGAGTTCGGTGCCAGCCACTAGGCCTATGGAGAGGTAATATATCATGGTGGACAATGGTGACGATACAAGTTCCCACACTTGAAATAGACTATTGGCCGTGCCGCCTGCAAACTTTGAATCTATTTTTAAATGTAAATATAATATATTAAGTTAAGTATAATGTTAAGTAAGCGTTTAGATTGTAAGATGAAATTTGACGTTTAGATTTTACCACTAGGTCCTTACATATAAATAAGTACATTCGCATACGTGCGTGCCTGTATTTACATATGCTGAAAAAAAGGAATTGCATATGTAATCCGTAAATCTTAGGATTCGATATTATATAGTTTCATCGTTGCATTAAAATATGCTCTTGATTTTATCATCATGGACGTTTAATATGATGAGAAAAGAAGTAGTGTCTATACAATCGCTAGAATAAAAGAAGGAAAGCAAGCTATTTATATATAATGTATAAAGAGTACATTATTTTTCTTTCAAATCGTAATTCAATATCGTAAAGATTCATGTCGAACGAACGATTTTTTATTTCTGTTGAAATACATGCGTATGTCCACGAAAAGACAATGAGATGAGAATGACAATGGTGATTGCACGATAACCATCTTTTCTATCATGCCGAAATAAGAGTCAAACGTTTTGTACGGCCGCAAGAAGAGAAATATTGTAATCAGTATCTCGATATTTTGCTGTTGCGCAATATATCAACTCGTAGTGCAAGCGATTCATGTTCATTTCTAACAGTTTTTAAGAGATAAGGCGTACTTTTCATTTAGTTATAGAAGTCGACACAAACGTCTTTCCATCTTGGCATTCAACAAATAAAATGATATTTGTGTCGACTTGTGTCACCAAATGAAAAACATTCATGAACTCATGTGTGATTGTTTAAAGCAAAAAAAAATCGTATAGTAAATCTAATGTTAGTCTTAATTTTAGTCTTTAATATTATCGAGACTGATAAAGGTCTTGCTTGTTTTGCATTCTCTTGTAACTCTAGCAATCGATCAGTTTGCGATTTTAAAGCAAAGAACACAATATTTCTTATTATATATCTATAATGATATAAAAACCTGTAATTTCAGAAAACGCGAAAAATGGAAACTTTCGGTCAATTATTTAAAAATGGATTTTCCCGAATGAATTGTATCGTGCCTCGCTTTGCTCAATGTTATGAAACAGTGTAATCATTTTTAAATAGCGATCTGCAAATCGTGATAAAAATGTGCAAAGTTTTGAGCGAAATGAAGATCATTCTCTAGCTTTTATGTTTTCTTCTTTTAGTTTTATAGAGTCTATACACACACACACACACACACACACATACACACAATATATATATATATATACATATCACATATACGTATGATG